ACTTGTGCGATGAAAACTGAAGCAAGCTGGAGCACTAGAGCCCCTGTGTTCGTGGATTGCTTTGATGCTGAGATGGTTATATAGCATAATCCTCACCGTAATCCTCTACTCGTATTTCACGCATGCTATCAGCAATGTGAACAAAGTAGTCATTAAGCAGATCATTGGCAATTTCCTTTTTGTCATTAATAATCCTGTCATTTTCTTTCAAGATAATGTCATTGGCTTGCTTACTTTTAGTATGCGAAAAGGGGCGGAAAGTAGACCATAAAGTAGACCAGAATTGCTTTATTGCTTTTCGCCTAAGAGAGGTGCAGGTATTACGCTGAGTTTTGTATGCCTACTAATTTGCATCCGTACGATTATATTGCGCGTGAATTTTTTCCACAGTTTGTTGCGATGCCTGATCGCCCTCCTCCATTGTTCCGTCATATCGGGCACTTGATTACCACGTTAGATTGTTTTTACATCGTTTTCTTAATAGCGGTGAACGCTTAGAAACAATTGCTCAAAAGCATAAAGCTTATCATCAAGTTCATCAATCAAATTAATTATGTGGAAAGGTACAATTTGCATATCATGCACAAAGTTCTCTCGACTGAAGTTTTTCAGACTATGAAAACAAATACTGCGAGATCGAGTCCTTGGTACCGATAATCGAAGGATAGTATAAACTAACGAATGATTACTAAGTTGCCTGTCTACCACGCCTGATGTTAAGACCTTTTTCGTGTCATTCGTCAGGATTACAGTCAAACCAGGTCAAGCGTTCCCGTCGCCAACAAACTAATGAATTCATTAATGGAAAAATGATTTCGTTTGTTGATTCAATAATCCATTCACAAAATGAATAATCCAACAGTGAAATTGGACCTCGATTCAATAATCAAATGTTGATTTGGTTTATGAACAAAATCTACCTGTTCTTTATTCTTGTCTGTTGTGTTCAATCGTATTTGCTTCCTTTTTCCTGCCGTTTACGATTGCGTTTTCATTGCCTTTAATCAAAATAACAGCTAGAATAGACAGACGGCAAACGCAAAGAAACTATGAGAAACTGACAAAGGCCGAGGATCGAAATCCACCAATCACCGCATATACACTGACCTTAGTTTGACCGTTGTGTTTTCTAAGAGGTCAGGCTTTGGGTTTGGGTTTGAACTTCAGAACTCGCCAGCACTCGACTCTCAGAAAAAAAAGAGGAAAAAACAAACTTCTGAGGTCAACTTGTGGAAAGTGTAGTTTTTCAAAAAACAGTAATCGAATCAACATTCGATTATGGAATGGAGGCTAAATATGACTATTGGATTGTTCATTTTATGAATGGATTATTGAATCAACAAACGAAATCATTTTTCCGTGAATGAATTCATTAGTTCGTTAGCGACGGGAACGCTTGACCTGGTTTGACTGTAAGTCCAGCAGTGTTTCTGTTGTTTTTGAGTTGGCTCCGTAATCAGACAATCAAGATTAAAAATAAGGGAAGAGGAGGGGAATTAGGGCGCGACACCACTTAAACTCCCTTTCCCTTCCCTTTCAAACGCCTGCCACGGGGGCAAGGAAAATATAGGCCAAAGTGTTCTGTTGTTTTTCCATTATAACGATGATTAAAATACATGGCTCTTCAGGGGGCACCCAACGATTGTTTTCTGTAAAGTAACTGTTCGGAGAAGCAAAAATTCCCTAGAATTTTCGAATTTGCAGGGGCACCCAACGAGAATATAGTTCAAAACCACTAAAACATAGCATTGGTAAAGGTATTTTAGTATTTAAACAGTAGATATGGGCATATTTTTATCCCCTAAAAATGTTTCATCTGTTCGGATTTCTTAGCTGAAAGTCTAGTGATCCGAAAATTATAGGGATCAAAACTCACCTTTTCCAAAATTTCAGCCAGAAAAAAGGCTCCCGAAAATTCTAGGTGACCTTTTTAGAGTAAAAATCCGTTAAAAATAGGCAATTATACCATATTTTAGATGTTCGAAAATCCTAGGAGAAGCAGGCAAGCAAGAAATTTTACAACAAATGTTCCGAAAATTCTTGCTCTCAAATCGTCTTCCGAACAGATATTTTTCCGAAAATTGTCGTTGGGTGCCCCTGAATTTTCTAGATCTGGGTGATGGAGAGAGGAATCAGAAAAATGCTCGCTTTCGTAAAACTTCAATTTGCATTTAAAATTTTCGGGAAAATAATACTGAAGACCTTGTAATTTGGAAAAGATCACCGAACAGATTCAAATTTTATCGCAGGCTCCTGACCGCTTAGAACGCATTTCTAGAGATCTAAAAGTACACTCTTTTCTTTTTATAAGAATGTTGTTTAGGAGGAAACCGTCGTTGGTTACCCCTAGTTCCAAGTGTTCTTTTCTGTATATTCAATCTGACGAAAAATATGCTTCACTAACTTTTACTTTTAAGCTGCTCATCATTAGCATTTACCAATAATCAGAGTCATCAGGAGCCCTGGAGGTCATCAGGGCTCCTGGAGTCATTTTTATTATTTTCATGTAATATTCTTTGCGGTTTTCACATGACGTCACCAAAAGTCAAAGTAAGAAACTACCGCTTCTTCTGAGTTTCTACTTTCATGTGATATTAGAGCACCTTAAAACCTTTATACAAACAAATTTTCGGTTCAAAAGCGTTCTTTGTTTTGCGATACAGCACACATGAATTTCCAGGCTTTTGCGAGACGCGGCATCTAGCTGACGGCCGGGAAAGCTCTTTTGTGGGTTAAAAACATTACGGATTTTTGGAGATTTTGCTATCTAAACATTCCTTGTCTTAGAATAAATATTGCTTTAATCTTTACGAGTTCCTCAAGCGAAGAATTCACTCATAAGTAGGAAAACTCAACAACAGATGTTTCCGTTGGTTTTCGGCGGCCATATTTGTGCCCCTGAAAGGGACACAAACATGGCGTCTCCATACAAAGCTTTATAAATTTGGGTAAAACGTTTTTCCCAATATCTCGCATATGAACCATTGCATAGACCTGATTCTAGGCAAGGCGTTTTGTATATTTATCTTCTTTCATTTCCCAGATTCTAGACTTTCTGTATTTAAAGGTTTCCATTTTTATTTCTGCTTTCCCACGTGAGTGAAAACCGAGATTTTTATGTACTATTTCTTATGTGAAGAGGTTGCTTTGCGCTGAAGGAGCCTTTTCTCAGATTTAGTTATTAAATAAATACATTTATTACATAAACACCAATGAAATACCAGGTGAGCTTTCGCGCGAAAACCTGATATCTTCACATGTGAAAATATCACCGTTGCTATGGCTCGTGTTGAAAAAATATTTCACGAGTGAGCGCAGGAGCCCATCCTGGTGAGCGCAGCTAACGAGTGAAATATTTTTCATCACTCGAAGAGAAATTTTGTATCTCCGCGCGGCCATGTAATGTCTCTATTTATTTTAACATGTACAAACCATACTTCACTTGGATTCCACTCATTCGTCAGCAATAAAGTTATCGTTACCAACAGAAGCAAAATTACTCCAGATATTTCCACCTTTCCAATGCGTAGGACAGCCCTGTAAGGATTGAAAGGGAAAGGCATCTTTCTGTTTCTGTGACACGACCTCTGCCTCCCAACATGTATGAATATTATTAAATATGTATGCAGATAGGTGTGGTCCTGCAATTTCGGACCATACGAAACAGCACTGTCGCACTAAGGATCAATGATTGCTCCTGAAGCCTGAACTCCTGTGATTATTAATATGCAGATGACCTACGTACAAAAGCACTCTATTTGATAAGCCTGCAGCAATTAAGGTGGTTTTCACGTTACGTCATCGCCGCCATGCTGGTGGACGGTAAACAAAAGATCGCTCATTAGCTCGCTTTGTTTGTCCACCAGCATTTGTTCATTTCACCATTGTTATTTGTGTCTCCCGAGATTGCATGAAAACTGTACCGTTGTAGTTATGTCCTATCTTGTGAACATGTCCTCTGACATAATCTGATATGCAAGCCAATCAGGTCATGCAATCTATCGTGGTAGTCGCGGCATAGGACTGGAAAAGAATCTCCGTTGCAGTTTGGTCTTCGAGAAAAATTTGCAATTCTAGCGGGTCGGGGAAGGTAGTAAAATTTGTCTTGCAAGGTTAAGTAAACACAACTGCAACGCTATATCTAGCCTGCGAGCAAGCTCTCTGGGGAGCTCTTGGGTGGGCCCTGTGCAAAGGATACACCCATGAGACGACGACAACAAGAAAACGTCACTACGAGTAGATTTATACTCATGTTAAGCGTGAAGACTCCCCAGTAGAAAGGAGAAGCCGTTACGTCACGTTACCATGGTAGCAAAATCTGGATCGGACAACAAACAGAAAACGTGAATTCGCACTCAGTTTTTCAAACTTTATTGATCTTGTTCAACTTCATTTAATTTGCCAAATGTTAGCGAAATTTCCTGGCGTTGAATCGAACAGAACCGTATCTGAGTTAAGACAGAAAAGGAACATTTCTGTGTTGTGTTCACTTACTTCATAAAACAGGCCCGTGATCAGGACATTTCATGTCGCCGTCGAGCAATGACAGCTAAGAATTGTACAATACGCGTGATGAACGTGCAAAGTTACCTTATTACAGAAAATTAACGCTTCGTGAAATTAAGGTATTAGAAATTAACGCGACCTAGTGTAGTGTTAGTCATTGTCTTAGTCTGAAAAACAGCCGAAGATATCAAGTTAACCGTTGCCAAAACGAACAGACTAAAAAGAATAGTATTTTTTACAGTAATGTATATCAGACGATTTTATTAGGTGATTTTTTTTCCAGATTACATTGTAGAGTTTCAGCAAGATTATTTGTAGTCATTCTTGAAGGTTTATCCGCTTCACCTCTAGATAAACTAATCAGAGTATCTGTCTACTTCATTGAATGTTCTCCCTTAATCCCATATGGCTTAGTATGTCAAAAGGTCCCATGCTCGAGCGAGTCAATTTCAGGTAGCTTGCGTGCGTAGCAGTCTCCAGCCGGGTGGGAATCGGCGGGCGCATCGAAACACCCACGGCTGGAGACTGAGCTTTGCGTAGCAGACGCTTGTAAATAACATAGACGCAAAAAAGAAAAGGGCACCCGATCGACGTAAGAGGGAGCGTGTTCCCCTTTGAGAGCCACGTTCTTTCTCGCCCCTATATCATTTATAAGCGCCGTCTAAGCAGGCTAAATTTCAGGCCAATGTAATACCTACCCGTTAACACTATTCCGACCAAGACCTCTAATTTATTAAAAAACGGAATTACTTTCCTCGTAGATATGTATTTGCTATAGATACTGGCTTTTCAATCGTGCATGAGATCGGATAGAGGCCCTGGGAAATCGTAATTAAATATTTCAAAGTCTTCTTCAAAGGCCTTACCCAGCTGAGCGATCTTCTCCTTGGGTATCGGGGCATAGCTTTTAAGAAGTTGACTTGTAGTATTGTGGGTAAGAAACGGAGGAAAGGTCACCGCTCGATCCATTCCTGTTTGCCGTAGGATATAAGGTGCTTCTTCTGTCATGTCCTCAAAATGACCGATGAAATCGTACTTTATATCACATGGGTGACAAATTGGGCCGTACGATCGCCAGTGTGCATTTGTATCAAACCCAACATCACTCACATAATAAATGAACTTCTTAAAAGTAAGATACTGGTCGGAGCTATTAGAACTAGGTTCGTCTTGTTTGTATCTTTCCAAAATTTTCGTTTTATAACTTTGAATTTTTCTCCAAGACCATTTGTTGTTTACAAACTTGTTATTGTAGGCTGACAAAAGCCTCTCGAGTGGTTCGCGAACAAATAGAAACTTAAAGTAAGATTTTAGCCTCACTTTAATATCCTCGTCCGAATAATCATATAAGAGAAATTTATAATGTTTGTTCTTATGCAAATCATCCACATCGGTGCGGTTATCAAGAGCAAGAAAGACACGTTTCCATTGACTGCAGGCCACCTTGGGAATATAGCAGAAGATTACTTTGTACTCATCGTTAACAATTATAGGATGATCGTATCGATCGTTTCGATTTCTGCTTGAAGCGTGCTTCTCACAGTAGTCTCTGAGTCGCTGCTGTCGCTCAGCTTGTCTCTTTTAATCCGCTCCAAAAGGTGATCATCCTTCTCTATCTGAAAAGTGGATTGACTAACGTGAGCCTTAGCCAGAAGGTTCGATTAGAAATCAGGAGAATCAGGATTAGCTTAGTCGGTAGGGGCGCTTAAACCGTGTAAACTGGCACCCAAGTACTGTCCCTAATTAGTACTTTAAATACAACATCGACACTCAAGTAAAGTTCATTTTTTACACAAACAGGCTGAACAGGACATGAAACAAGCAAAACATTTTATGTTTCTGGGAAACTGCCCACCTACCCCTCCCTTAAGCCAACACTTTGCCCTAAGTAGGAAGTAAGTGTTAATGTTGGCTTAGGGGAGGGGTAGGTGGGCAGTTTCCCAGAAACGTAATCTTCTACCTACAACTCCAGCCGGTCCGTACTACCTTTCCCATCTCTTAATTCTTTAGTATAGTTGAGACTTTGTCGACACGAATCCATTTAAAAGACATTAAACGATCTCGCAAACAAAACGATCGTTAAAGAGGATAAAATCGTGACAGATAAATATTAGCCTGCGTAGCAAGAGTTTCCGTTACGGAATTTTCGGTTTTGGCCTCGTGAAACCGCACAGAAACGCCTTGGCTATGCCGGCTAGATAAACATCATTCTCCTACACTACTAACACCTGTAGTAACACGACATGATTTAACCTACCTTGAGTTCTTTTTTAGCAATGCGTGCTGTTTTATCTACTTCGGGCAAGAACCTGACCGCTTCAACATCTATGGAGAAAGTAATGTCAGTTACAGGGACAACAAAGATGAAAAATAAAAATTATTATCGAGTTAAAATAAAGCCTCTCTTTAACTGCAATTTCTCTCGACCAATAGTTATCATTATTGCCCGCGCGATAATGAAATCGGCCAACGGACGTTAAATTTCCTCAAATCCTTGGCCTGCCCTTGGCGTTTCCTTGACAAGAGTCCTTGATGAGTCATTACCGCTAACAAATATCAATCCTGACAAGTGTTCAGTCTTGATAGCTCTCCTTGTTAAAATGCTACTCGCCAGTTTTTTCGTCAGGGAGAGCTGCCAAGGACAACTTCTGTAGGAAACATCTCTGACGTTAATTAGCCATAAAAGGCCATATATATCTGTTGCCTAATGAATATGTGATTAAAACCTTTCTGTTAATAATATCTAATAAAGGAATATTGCTTATCCAAATAATCGCAGCATTATATCATGTGTTGAGCCAAGAGTGATTGATTCACCTTCAGTCGTAGCCATTAAGTAATGGTTTTAACACATTTAAAGGAGAAAAAATGCAAAACATATTTATTTAACGAGACATTTTAATTTCTGAGTTTCAAACTTTCATTACCCAAGGCTTTCTGTGAAAAAAATAAAAATAAAAATAAAAAGTTGGACACTGACTATTTTGGAAAACCTTAAGGTAAAAAAGAAGTAACAAATGTAAAGACGGGAGTCTCCAATAGACAGTCATTTCATCGCTAGGAACTCTGGCTAGTTTGAAGTTAATGCAGGAGATGGCGATTATTTTTCTTTGTGAGGAAAGTTTGATCGAAACGAATTGCAGAACAGCAACTTACATGCATTACGTTTGAAGTATTTCTTGGTCCAGTCGAGTGTTCCAAGTGGTTAAAGAAGCGTTCAACTGAACATTAATTAGAAAAAAAAGCAGGAAGGATTCAGTTAGGTAGTGAACTGTGGCAGCAGGTTTGATACACGTAATTTCCTGCCGCATACTTATCTGACGAAAGGAAAGTGCGCGGAGTGAAGAACCATTTTTCTATTTTTGAAGTTAGTTAGTTAGCCAACAAACGAATAACGAAAATCCGTGTCCTTTATCGGTCAAGATATATACAAGAATTGAAATTTGAAAAAGGTAAAATGGTAGCTTACCTTGGTACAGAGCAACCATGTACATGGCCAGCAGAATCAGTAAAATGATCAGAGATACAAACAAATTTCTCCGAAGTCGAACAGCCATTAAAGAAATGAAAATAAGATACGTTGTCGGTGGATATTCAACAGTTGATCATTTGTTTGTTGCTCAGCTTTGCTTTATCGTTTGTAAGGTATTTCTCTTTACCTTCACATATGCGCAGTACTGACTCTGATCACGTGCCTTACGATATTTACTCGAAGAAAGCAGCGGAGCTCATTGAACTTTTCTTCTTGCCGCGCTTTGTTTGGGGGGCGGCGTTTATTTGGAAACAAAGCTTATTCAAAACCTCTTATTTGCCAGTAACACAGTACCATGCGCACGTTATTATCTCTGTTTAGCAAGGAGCCCATTTAAAGTTATTTCAAATTGTCTGTACCATATTTGAGATCGAAGCCCAAAAGCGGAGCTTCAACTAGCCTAACTGGACGTATTTACTTGAAACAATAAACTTGAAATCACTACAAAGCAACCTTGTAAAAAATGTATATGTATTTGTGGTTTCAAAATATCAGGTTTCGTGTGGAAAGGGCCTTACACTCGGAGTACATTAACATTATTGACACTTAATTGAGGGGCCGCTTACAGGGCTTTCCACAAGTTGCTCGGCAACTTTTTGGCAACTTCTCGTATTTCGAGCCTCCGATCTCCTCGAACGCACGCGCACCAACTCCAGCTCAATCATCACTGTTCCTCTTCGCAGTTGGAGTCAATCTCAAGGCAACTTTGGGTATCCTGTCACTGGGTATCCTTAGGACATGACCAAGCCATTGCAGTCTGTGGTTCTTGATTTAATACTGTCCCAGTTCTTATGCCGTTCCTTATTAGTGATCTTGTTGGTTCAGTAGTTCGACTTCCAGATGTTGCAGAATCGACCGAAAGCACTTCTGGCTTTAATAAGGCGAGCTTTGGTGTCTTTATTATGGGCACCATTGTCATTACTAATAAGGCTTTCGAGATAAGTGAAATGGTCAATGCAATCCAGCTCAGTAGTTCCTTTCCACTGATGATGATTGGGAGTGTTGTAGGGTATTGACATCAGTAAATCACCTGGGTCTTTGTAACGATAATGAGCAGACCGGTTTGCTTTGCAAAATTGTTTTGTCGGTTGCATTTTCCCCGGAGATGGTTGAGTGGCTGACATGTCTGCCAGATCATGGGCAAAGTCATGTTCTTCTAAATGTGAGACCATGGTCCACTGGATTCCACGCGGACGGTCTGGGGTTGTGTTATGATGGATGAAGGACAACAAACAAGCTCAAACATCAACAAGCTTTTAATCTCGGATAGTCCAAAAGTGCACACTTGACCACGAGGTCTGAGTTACAAAGGATTGTGTCACGTCACGTATACGAGGCAAAAAAATAACACAATGATATCATAACATCCTCCCCTGTTTAAAGAACTGAAAGAAAATACACTTAACTGTCAGGGGATAAAAGTCCTAAAATGTTTCTAAATCAAAGTCACTGTTCGGAAAAGTTCTCAAGTCATGTAATCTTGGAAACGAACTGGGGGCCTTACCGTGAGGCCACTCCTTGTGATGGCCGAACTGAATGCCAAATCAGCAGGAAGAGCTGTTGTGCTTGAATCAGCTGAAACAGGTTTGGGTCCTTCAGAATTCTTAGTGGGTGATGCACACTGGGTGAGGACCTGACTATCATCTGTAGGACGTGACTGCTTACTGCTCACAGGATTGCACATTGCTTGATCGGTGGTTGGAACCAAACGTAATTGTCTACGATTTCTACGATATGTGCGGTTACCAGAAACAACAGTGTAGGATCGTGGTCCAATCATTTTCTTGCAAACAGCTTCAGTCCAGGTCTTTTCATTTGGTTTCTTCATCCTGACAATCTGACCAGGTTGTAGTTCAGGCAGTGCTTTTCCTTTGAGGTTGTAATAGTACGCCTGCTTTTGTCTGGAGGCAATTAGCCTTTGCTGTACATCTTGCGGTGGCACTGCCACAGGTTCAAGCTGTTTGGGTGTCAGCGATAGCAGGTTGCGCGTTCTTCTGCTGAAAAGCCTTTGGGACGGAGAGGAGCCAACATCCGTAGGTGTATTGCGATAGTCTAAGAGAGACAGATACGGGTCAAACTTTCCCCGAGCTGCCTTCTTCATGATGTTTTCACACATTTTTACTGCACTCTCCACCTTTCCATTGCTTTGTGGGTTGCGGGGCGAAGAGTTAATATGCTGAAAATTCCAGTCTTCTGCAAACTTCTTGAACTCATAGGAATTGTACTGAAGACCGTTGTCAGATACCACTATCTCTGGTATCCCATGACGGCTAAACTGCATCTTCAGTTTCTCAACAACAGTTCTGGAATCAGTGGTCTCTAGCTTGTCCACTTCAAAGAACGAGGAAAAGTAGTCAACGGTTATCAAGTACTGGCGTCCATCAAATTGCATCAGGTCTGTTCCAACCTTTTGCCAGGGCCTCGTAGGAATTTCATGTGGCATTAGAGGCTCTTGGGGTTGCTGTGGCTTAAAAGAGTTACAGACATCACACTTGAGAATAAAATCTTTCAATTCGGCATTCATCCTGGGCCAGTAGAACACTTTTCTTGCTCGGCGGAGACATCCTTCGATACCCAGGTGGGACGAGTGAATCTTCTCCATCATTTCTTTTCTTAACTGGGAGGGTACAATAATACGTTCACCCTTGAACAGCAAACCATTTTGGACAGTGATGTCTCAAGGTCCATACCTTGAGAAGACTTCAAACCAAGCAAAGGTGTAACCTTTTGATCAACTATAACAAAGTTCAAATCATGCTTGCTGCCATTATGCTCTACTCTCAACCTAGCAAAACCAAATGCCTTTCTCTTTGAATGATCATGCATAACCAGAGTGATATCTTTAGGAACAATGTTTGTACACTGACAGTCATTAGTGGCTCTAATATAATCTTCAAGTGGTAAGATGTTTGCTGAAGAGCCTGTATCAATCTGAAATGTTACTGAAGCAGCGTCATTTAGAGTAACAGGAACAAGGGCTTGATCTTTTCCACCAATATTATTAATGTAGAAAACTTCCTCAACATCATTGACATTAACTTTCTCAGACTTACCACTGCGACATTTGACTGCAAAATGACCAACTTTGCCACAGTTTTTGCATTTCTGTCCGACCACAAAATAGGCCACAAAATAGGCACTCTTTAGACTTACTGTTAGACGATGGGTTCCGAGTCGAACTCTTGCGAGGCTTTCCTTTCTCTTGTGCTCTAGACTTGTGTTTCACAGCACTAACATCTTCTTGACTTGATATTTCACCCGCAATTTCCGATGCTCGTGAATGAGTAACTTGACTTGCTTTGATCGTTTTAATTGCCTTATCCAAATCGAGATCACGCTTTCCAAGGAGCTTTTCACGAACCCTGTCATCTTTCACTCCCAGAACTAATCGGTCGCGAACGAGCGATTCACGGAGCGTTCCAAAACCACAAGACTCAGACAATTTCATTAATGCAGTTAGGTAGCTGTCAAGGGACTCGCTTGGCAACTGATCACGTTTGAAGAAAACATACCTTTCGTACGTTTCATTTCGAGCAGGAACACAGCGTTCTTCAAACTTTTCCAGTATCTTGTCGATTTTCAAGGCGTGAGACGGATTGTCCCATTGAAAGGTTTCATACATGTGCATTCCTTCCTTTCGAACGAAATTTAATAAAGAGGCAACGCGAACTTCTTCCGACTTTTATGAATGCCAGCTGCTAATTCATAAAATTTCCATTCTCGACGAAACAGTTTCCAATTCTCTCCTTGGTGCAAACGGTCGGATAAATTCAGCGGCGATGGAATTTTGGCGGTTGTGCTGACAGCGGCCATATTTGTGATTATGAATGAACGCAGACTATAGCCTTCACCACCAGCTACGAACTGCGAACAAGGCGTTTAAGCTTTCAGAAATCGCGGCAACAACAGTAAACTTAATGTCTCGGTTGACTATCCCACTTCTGACACCATGTTATGATGGATGAAGGACAACAAACAAGCTCAAACATCAACAAGCTTTTAATCTCGGATCGTCCAAAAGCGCACACTTGACCACGAGGTCTGGGTTACAAAGGATTGTGTCACGAGACGTATACGAGGCAAAAAATAACACAATGATATCATAACAGGTTGTTTCACTTATCACCCAGTCTATGGCTACTACAAAAAAGATTGGAGAGAGAATAAAACTCTGTTGTACTCTAGACTTGATGGGGAATTACTCTGGCAGAGTATTCTCTAAGATAACACTGCATTCGAAGAGTTCATAAAATTTCCTTCTGATGGTAACAATCTAAGGTAGTAGTCCGTATGCCCTCAAGATCTTCCACTCTGTCGAATGCTTTCTCAAAGACAGTGAAGTTGGTAAACAAGAGAACATTCCATTCAATGCACTGTTCAGTGATGTTCTGGAGAGGAAAATCTGGAACAATGCAGCCTCGGCCTGTACGAAATCTAGTCTGTTCGGGTCTCAACTTGGGATCTATGTCACTATCAATCATTTTGAGGAATGTTCTGCAGAATACCTTGCTGGAAATGAGCTGAAATGGAGAGAGGTGTTACGTCTTGCCACAGTTCTTACAGTTGTTGAGGCCCCTTCTTTGGAATCTTGTGAATCATCATCATCATCATCATCTAACGATTTCCCACATGGAATGTACGTATCTAGCCTGCGAGCAAGCTCTCTGGGGAGCTCTTGGGTGGGCCCTGTACACGAGATTGCTCCCATGCGAAGGATACACCCGTGACACGGCGACAACAAGAAAACGTCACTACGTGTAGATTGATACTCATGTTAAGACTCCCCAGTAGAGAGGAGAGGCTGTTACGTCACGTTACCATGGTAGCAAAATCTGGATGACAACAAACCAAAAACGTGAATTCGCACTTTTTCAAACTTCATTGATCTTATTCAACTTCATTTAATTTGCCAAGTGTTGGCGAAATTCTCTGGGGTTGAATCGAAAGGAACCATATCTTAGTTAAGAAACAAAAGGAACATTTTTGTGTTGTGTTCACCTACTCCATAAATTGATTAGAACGTTTCATGTCGCCGTCGACCAATGAAAGCTAAAAATTGTACAATACACTTGATGTACGTGCAAAGTTACCCTATTAGAGGAAATTAACACTTCATGAAATTAAGGTATTAGAAATTAACGCCACTTAAATTAACGCGAATTTAGTAGAAAACGACTTTTGAATAAATGAAATTAACTCGCGAAAGAGAGGGTAACATTTCAAAATGAAGGAAATTAACTCGACGTGCACAAAGAAACAAAACTTGCTGAGACAACAGCAGCGAAGATTAAACGTGAAATGCGAAACGGAAACTTTGTTCGTGGTTCTTTCCTTAAACGTTAAGCGAAGAAATCTGGCCACTGCAAGTTCTTCACAGTTTTACTGTTGCTGGCGGATCTTCACCCTGATAAAATACCCCTCTTTCTTAGGTCTCGAGAACGTCAGAAGTGTATTGAGAATTTGGGGTCAAAAAACATGGAAGTTAAGGTCGCGAAATTAACGCTACACTTAACTAACGTCGCGGAAATTGACGTTTGCGGAAATTAACTAGCCTGCGAGAACATCCGTTTCTCCTCGCTCTTCGTCGCTGAGGACGTTTCGCGCGGAGGAACGTCTGCGACTCAGTGACAGAAATTCCATACTGATGACGCAAATCAATGTTTACATAATAAATCCAGTAGTCATGGGGTTCCAAATATAAATTTGTCTAATTTTGCGTGTCTTCTGGTCGATTTTGGTAAAGTGTTGTGTTGATCTGCGCACGAGCTCCAGCAAAACTTTAATGCTTCTTCTAGAGAAGACTATATTCCACAAATATTGACTGTTTTGTTAGAGATTCTTCGTGTTTACATTTGACCTTTTTGGCCTTTTGTCTTTTGCCTGTCATTTGTAAACAATAGCTAAAACAATGTAACTGCTCCGTCGACCAATCAGCGCTTCTGACCGGATTCTGGACAGATTTTACGTCATCAGTATGGAATTTCTATCGCTGAGTCGCAGACGTTCCTCCAAGCGAAACGTCCTCAGCGACGAAGAGTGAGGAGAAACGGGTGTTTTCGCAGGCTAGAAATTAACGGGACTAAAATTAATGGGAATTTTTGAAATTCGCGTTCATTTCCTATGATAAGGAATGGTTTTGCTAATATAAACCATTGCTTTTTTGCCGTTTTCGTTGCCGTCGCCGTCGTCGTTGCTTAAACTGTTTTTATCCAGAAATTTGGCTCTCTTGGTAACGTGACGTAACACATCTCTTCTCTATTACGCTGCCTCCAATCACTATACGAATAAATCTCGGGGTTCTGAGAAAACACTTGAATTCGCTTACAGTCAAACCAGGTCAAGCGTTCCCGTCACTAGCAAACTAATGAATTCATTAATGGAAAAATTATTTCGTTTGTTGATTCAATAATCCATTCATAAAATGAATAATCCAACAGTCAAATTGGACCTCGATTCAATAATTAAATGTTGACTTGGTTTGTGAACAAAATCTACCTGTTCTTTATTCTTGTCTGTTGAGCTCAATCGTATTTGCTTCCCTTTGCCTGCCGTTTACGATTGCGTTTGTAATTGCCTTTAATCAAAATAACAGCTAGAAGAGACAGACCGCAAACGCAAAGAAACTGACAAAGGCCGGGGATCGAAATCCACCAATCACCGCACATACACTGACCTTAGTTTCACTATCGTGTTTCCTAAGAGGTCAGGTCCGTTGCAGTGATTACTGGAAACAAAATGACGTACATGTAACAGTTTGTCTGGGTTTGAAATTCAGAATTCACCCGAACTCGACTCTTAGAAAAAAAGGAGAAAAAAAAGTGTAGTTTTTCAAAAAACAGTAATCGAATCAACATTCGATTAAGGAATCGAGGCTAAATATGAAAATTGGATTGTTCATTTTATGAATGGATTATTGAATCAACAAACGAAATCATGTTTCCGTTAATGAATTTATTAGTTCGTTAGCGACAGGAACGCTTCACCTGGTTTGACTGTAAGCTGTTTTCTTAGAAGTAAGATGTGCCAGGAAGGGGTACCTGAAACGCAGGCCAAGGTGGTAAGGGCAGAGGAGATTACTACGCTTCCCCCGTCACGCCACCACGGCGTTGGTCTTCACCCATACATAATTTCCTACTCTACGTAGTCTTTCTTTCTAGAAACGCATTCGCTAAAAAGAGATTTGTTTATAGTGGAAATGCACGTAGCTTTCCCCTCATCCTGTTTTTGGCCTTTTTTCCCCACTGCAGAGCCTGGTCCCAGGCTACTGAAGGGCTAAAATATATAAAATATCAGCAGGTCGACAGTAACAAGTGGTGCCGGTTCTCCCAGTTGTAGACCTGGATCAGTACAATTAAACTTAAATAGGTTTAAATATATAGTTTTTGTTTTATTCATTTGTTTACTTCTTGATCGCCTTGCCGTTAGAATCAGTTTACCGTTTCATACTTTTCTACTGGAGGGCTTGCAGAAGCCCGCTATGATAATTGTGTCGCCGCATGTCACCTGTCGGGAGGCACTAGGAATCTCTAGTTTAGAGACACTGTTTGATCGGAGAAAGGTTTAAAGGGACGAAATGTTTCAGGATATACATCAATAATCCCCAGAATCGCGAATCATACTTATTTTTACCAAAGGTTTAAAGGGCCGAAATGTTTCAGGACATACATCAATAATCCCCTGAATCGCGGATCATACTTATTTTTACCAGAGCCAAACAAAAGTTGTGTTAGTAATTGTCTTAATCTGAAAAATAACCGAAGATGTCACGTTAACCGTCGCCAAAACAAACGGACTAAAAAGAATAGTATTTTTTACAGTCATGTATATCAGACGATTTTATTAGGTGATTTTTTTCTAGATTACATTGTAGAGTTTAATCTAAATTATTTGTTGTCATTTTTAAAGGTTTATCCGATTTACCGCTAGATAAACTATTTATTGTATCCGTCTACTTCATTACATGTTTTCTCTTATTCCCATATCACTTAGTATGTCAAAAGGTCCCATGCACGAGCGAGTCAATTTCGGGTAGGCTACGAAGCAGGAGTCCCAGTCTCCAGCCTGGTGGGGAGTACCGCGGGCGCAGCGAAACACCCACGGCTGGAGACTGAGCCTAGCGCAGCAGACACTTGTAAGTAACATGGACGCAAGACTTGACTTGTAGTATTGTGGGTAAGAAACGGAGGAAAGGTCACCGCCCGATCCATTCCTTTTTGCCGTAGGATATAAGGTGCTTCTTCTGGCATGTCCTCAAAATGACCGATGAAATCGTACTCTATATCACACGGGTGACAAATTGAGCCGTACGATCGCCAGTGTGCATCTCTATAAAACCAAACATCACTCACATAATAAACGAACTTCTTAAAAGTAAGATCCTGGTCAGAAATATTGGAGCAAAGTTCATCTTGTTTGTATCTTTCCAAAATTTTCGTTTTATAACTTTGAATCCTCGTTCAAGGCCATTGGTTGTTTACAAACTTGTTATTGCAGGCTGACAAAAGCCTCTCGAGCGGTTCGCGAACAAATAGAAACTTAAAGTAAGATTTTAGCCTCACTTTAATATCCTCGTCCGAATAATCATATAAGAGAAATGTATAATGTTTGTCATTATGCACATCATCCACATCGATGCGGTTTTCAAGAGCAAGAAAGACACGTTTCCATTGACTGCAGGCTACCTTGAGAATATAGCAGAAGATTACTTTGTACTCATCGTTAACAATTACAGGATGATTGTATCGAGCGCTTCGATTTCTGCTTGAAGCGTGCTTCTCACAGTAGTCTCTAAGTCGCTGCTGTCGCTCAGTTTGTCTCTGTTCAATCCGCTCCAAAAGGTGACCATCCTTCTCTATCTGAAAAGTGGATTTACAAACGTGAGAGCTTTAGCCAGAAGGTGCGATTAGAAATCAGGACAATCAGGATTAGCTTAGTCAGTAGGGGCGCTTAAACCGTGTAAACTGGTGGTCAAGTAGTGTCCCTAATTAGTACTTTAAATACAACATTGACACTCAAATAAAGTGCAGTTTTTTACACAAACAGGCTGAACAGGGCATGAAACAAACAAACAAAGTCGGATTGGGAAACTGCCCACCTACCCCTCCCCTAAGCCAGCATTTTGCCCTAAGTGAGAACTAAGTGTTAATGTTGGCTTAGGGGAGGGGTAAGTGGGTATGGCGCGCCGTTTGTGTCGAAATTATTTTTTTCATTGGTTATAAATTTTTAATCCTTTTCTTTTCTGAATCATGGATATAAGCACTGAAAATCAGAAAGAAGGACGCATGATCCTTTCATTATTGATTTTTCGTCGTCATTATTAAGAACAATCTCTTAATAGTTTACTTTGAACTCCAATCAATCAGTTTTGCGGATCGGGTTTACCGACCAGTTATCGATCAATTAAAATATTACTATATTGTGCTAATTTTCTACCAGATACGTAATATCGATCAGCCGGCATATCATCAATCGGTAATCCGTCGTGTTTAAATCGATGTATATGATCCGTAATCAACCATGGTAAGCTGTCTTAAATTTCGATCAGTTTTGCTAATAATCAATCAGTTTATTATGTAACAGTTATCGGGTACTATACTATTGATCAGCGTAAACTCGGCTTGTACAGTCTACCAGTTGTGCGTATTTTCATTCAGTTGTGACTAAAATCGGTCAATTGTGTGTATTTTACCTTCTATCATTTTAGCCCAGAATTCTCGACATACTCCAGACATTCTTAGAAGAAAACTAGAAAACTGAATAGCTTTAGTTTCGCGCACTTTTAAAATTTCCGATCAATCTTTCACAATTTCATTACTGTAACAACATTTCATCTTCATGGTCGCTGCGAGTAGTGGTTTCTCCAGCGTCCGGCCTGGAGAAACCACTGCTAGCAGGGTACTGTGAGAAGAATATTACTCTCAATATCTGCTTCCTGGATTTCGATCAACTTTAAATAAATTAGTCCCTGTTCTTTAAACAACTTTCGTTTCTGTTTGTACGTCGCGTTAATTTTTCTTTCTTTAAAACTTAGATGTTGTTTACTGTAGGTAGTGTCGACCGATTTATCGGTCGATATAGCGTTCGATGGTCGGCGGTCGATAGTCGATCGATAGTCAGTGGACAGTCGGTCGATAGTCAGTCGATCGTGGGATAGACTATCGGCCGAGTATCGGTCGATATTTCGACGACGCACCTTGACCGACTACCGGTCATCTGTCGGTGACATATCGGTCAACTGTCGGTCGAATATCAGTCGTTAGTTAATTTAGCAGGTGAGTCCAATGGCTTTCTTTTTAAGCAATGACATCGTTAATTACTGTTATCATGAGATGGAGGAACATGTGGCAGTGCGAGGCGCAATTACTCTATGAAGCGAACCGAAGGGCACTGGAAACTAGGGACATGGTAACCTTTTTTTTGCCAGTTTGTATGATCACCGATCGTCTGATTTTTGGCTGTTAAACAGAACCTGTCAGAGTCTAAGTTGAATCTGCTGCTTCTGTGGTCCCGCAGTCGAAGAATACTTAAAGATGGACGAGAGAAACGACTGCTCCCGCAGTCCCGAATTGGACGGATAATGAATAGGAAGGGCAGTTCATGACATGCTTTAAGAGCGAGGAATGCACATCTTTTATTATTGGGCTTTGACCTGTTTCATCACGCCGAGTTCTCGCTTGTGCGGAGACCACAAATTAAACTTATAGCGGGGCTCCTACGCGCGCGAAGCGCGCGTGGGACAGAGCCCCATACCCATCGATTATGGTCAACCTCTTTTCCTTTGGTTGTCACGTGATTGACCGAGCGTACGTACGTACGCGTCTACGGATTGTACGGGTGGGGTAGGAGAGACTATCAAAACGAAGGGAGGGGTGTCTCAGGCGTGTCTTGCCAAGTCCACATCTTTTACATTGGACATTCACAATATGGTCAATTGACAACTGTCAAAACAGGATAGCCACTGACCAGTATCCCATGACCATATCGCGGGCTCATGTGTCAACTCATTGAGGTGACGTAATTTATTTGGAAGCTGTCCGCTGACCAGCTAATTATTTTACTAGATCGCGATCAATGTTCAGTCTCATACTTTCTAGCTAGTTTGGGATCGGAGCACAGGAAAACTGATACACGTCAATGTTGTGATCCATTGACAGCTGTCAAAACAAGGTATCTGCTGACCAGTATCACTTGACTGCATCGCGGGCTCAGGTGTCGACCCATCGAGGGCAAGTGTTTTTTTGAAGTTATCCGCTGACAAGGTACTGGTTTTCAAATGATCGCAGGCTCAAGTTTAATTTTTTTTAAAATTCATATGAAATATGTGGTGTTTATGTGCCGCACAATTAAAATTTTGATTTCAAACTGACCTCGGACGCGAAAATTCAGCCAGCAGCTACAGGCAGGGAAAACAGTTGCTTTTGACTTTTCTCGCCATGTTCACGCGTTGGTCACGCTCTACGTCCAATTTTTATGCTCTGATTGGTCAAAATTTGACAGGTGAGTTCATGCGAAAAATTTATGCAGCATCTTGAATCTTGTTTACTTTGACAGCTGAAGCTGACAGAGTTTTGTGTCAACTTGCGATGTTTTTAACTTTCTTTTTCCACTGGATGTACAAAATGAAATTCAGCTGCTATCAGGAGTCTTCTGTTATTCATGGCTAGTTTGTTTATTGGGTTTTTGGTTGAGTCAAAGTCGGAAATCCGATTTCGGATGGCATCGTTTTCGTTTTCATCTTGCTTAATGCGTAAGAGGTTTGCAAAGTCTGAAGCGATACTGGCGTTACTTGATACCTTTCAGGAGCTGCATCTCGAGTGGTAAGCCTAAGTAATTATTGTATTTGATGTTTGTTTTTTATTCCTAATTTCATGAAGTCGAGCGTAGTTGATGCGGCTATTTTGTTTACGCACGTTTCTAAGATTTGAGACAATGATCTGACCGAGTATCAGGTTTGTTATAACATATAAGCTTACAAATCTTTAAAAAGCCTTTAGACATCTTCTCACCGCAAATAGAAAGAAAACGTTTCAAAGAATATTAATTTAGTTATAATTCTGGCTGTAAGAGAAAGGTTTGAGCGATTTTCTTACCTCGAGTTCGTCTTTGAAAAAAGCAAACACCGGGAAGCCGGCTTAAAACATAAACTTCAGCTTTAAGCTCGAAGACTCAGGATTTTTAGAGACACTTTAATACTTGTCTTCCTGAACGAAAATTGTCGTCTCTGTATAAGTTTTACCGAATTATATTTGTTTTATTGATTGTTAGTACTCTCTCTTGTAATTTTAATTGTTGTGCCGATTGTTTTCAGTCGTTCAGTAAACAACGCTTCCCGGAGTAGTCAAAATGCCGCGCGTTAAACCGTTTTAAAATAAAAAATAAACATAATAAATTCTTTATTATGTTGGACCGTAACTCTGTTAATTTTCGTTCAAACACTCGCCACTGCTAACACTGTAAAAGTCAGAACCGGCTGGCTGTATAGAGGATTTTGAAAATTTTTTCAACGGTTTACGGCTAAAGCCCACGCGTGCTTCGATCGTCCTGAATAGCAATTTGTATCGCAATATTGTGAAATACTGCATTCTGTTGTCCGAGGTCTGTATGATAGAAACAGTGCCTCATAGTACTGTTTCACCTCAGATGTGATGTATAAATGATATAAAAGGTTGGTTTACACGCACCCAGACTTGTTGTTGGCAAGATTTTGTGAAATAAACTTGTCGAACGCAAAAAATTCGGCCGGAATTTTTTTTCCAGGCCTAATTAATCTACGGTGATCAAGAGCCATTATGGCTCTTAATAAATGTGATCGAAGATGATTGCCAGTTTTTGGATGTACTTATGAGGCTATCAACTCGATGTGAGATTTGGTTCACTCTTGGGCTGTTTGCAAATTATTTTTGTAAAATCACTTAGCCTTTCCATGGATAATAGAAAGACTGGATAGGAAACTTATGTCACGTGGGCTGATTTCTAATCGCCGATTGGCTGGTTCGTGCTTCAAGATGGCGTTGACTGGTTCCATCATAGTGGAAATTTGTGACGAAATGATGGCGAAAATGTGGCGCACACCAGTCGAAATGTAGGGTTTGTTTGCCTGCATGTTGTTCTTTTTCGGAGTTTTTAGTGCTACTTTAATTTTTGGTGTATGTTTTTCCCTTCGTTTGTTGTCTTGCGGCGATGGCGACCCTTCAAAGCCACACTTGAACCTTCGAGGTAAGCACTTCTTGTTGTTGTTTTGTGTTATTTGTCCTTGTCTTTGAGAAAATTTCGTCCCAAAAATTTACCTTACAGAGCCATATTTACTAGACTTGTGGACTATTTTGGGACACCTTTATTTAGAAGGTTCCTTCTTCTTTCTATTTATAACTACGATTGACAGATGTTTTAAGGATGGAATTGTGGCATAGGCATAGTTACAGACTGAGTGCTGTTATTTTCCAGCCGTACATTTCGATTGAAAATGACCGAAATTAACTACATTCGGAGCTAGTGCCGAACAAGTGTACGCACACGGTGTGCAATTTTCCAATGGGCAGACTTGTTTGTGTTGAGAACTGCTTCGCTCAAGTAATATCCTAGATTAACCCTGCTAATTGTTCGTAAAGCAGTATGTTAATTTCACTCATCTTTTCATGTTGAAATATAACTTCTAAATTACATATCCATTGAATACAATCGCCTCACGTCGCTCCTCGCAGCTTGTATTCGAAGGTACTGAAGAGACTCGAATATTTTTTTTGTACATAAACTACATAAACATAAACTACACCTACTGACTGCTGATTTTTGGCCTCCGTTTAGGCTCCTAAGTGTTGTTGTTATTTTGTAAACAGTGTTTTAGTTTTCCTTGTGTTTGTCTTTTTTGTAGGATTTGCTGAACACTTTAGTCAATGAAGACAGTAAATTGTGGTCAAGCAGGGTCAAGTAATCTTCTGAGAGGGCACAAATCAATCAATCTTTCTGTATAAAACAGCAACTAAAGTTACTTTTGTCATGCATGAGAGCCAGAAGGTGGCATATAATTTATTTCTGATCAGAAGGTGCTTTAAGCTTTATTCATCACATCTGAAGAGTGTTAGCTACTCCTTTCTGACTGGGACAAATTAATTGTGTGTGAGGGTCACTGCATGTATTAGCTGCAGAGTAATGTGTTTTAGATTTGGTTAGTGTTTTTCTCTGAAGCGGTCTAAATCTGAATCACATTGTTTTTCAAACCAGAGATGGACTTGATTAGCACTATTATTGAACTCGGTTCTTTTAGAGATCCAAAGCAACAATGTACCTGTAGATGATAAACCTTACCAAGATGTATTCTAAATCAAATTAATAAAACATATACCTGTACTTGTTTGGGGTATGAATTTTGTTTTCAACAACATAATAATGTGACCAGACAGTCATATTTTTTCAAGCCCTTATCCACTTACCTCAGGCTAAACAAAAATCCTGGATGTTACTTTTTTTTATTTATTTTTTTTAATAATCAGCTTCTATTTTCTTTGGGAACAGTGTTAATGTTTAATTTTCAGAGGTGATTTCTATATCATCAAGACTACAATACAAAAACTTAAAGGTTGTTTCATCCTAAAAAGAGGTCAGTATTTCAAAGAATAAATATATTTCTAAGCTTTATAAGCCTTATCAGTGGAAGACAAGTGTTCCTCATAAAAAGAAGTGAAGGGCCTACTATTAATCACGAGTTTGCTTCCCAGCTGTAATCTAGTGGTTAACAATTAACCGTTTTACATAACATTTTTAAAAGCGTTGCAATTCGCTTTTTCAAAGACCTGACTGAAAATTACCTTAGGTAATGGTACATTTATACCTGAAAATAACAAAAGAACTTGCCGCTTTACTATGAAAATTGATTTGAGAAAGTTAGAAACAGCGTTTCCGCGGTGGTCCGCAAGCACATTTCCTTTCTCTGCTGAGCTTTTTATCCCCGCTTTTTATCATGTTTTATACAGTTCTCAACTACGGCTTCTTGTCACTGATTGTCCGTAAATAAATTTGAATGGAAAATTAAACCCTCCTTTGAGCTGGGTACTTGAAACATCAAGTCTCGACAGTTTTACCGCTAATAAAATCATTTTGTCAGGAGTCAGTTGTTAACTTGTAAAATTCGACACTCGCTGAGCTCGTATAAAAGCAGAAAAGAAATCGTCAAAACCGTGACAAAAATATTTAAAATTCTTCCCGGTTTTCTTGTGGTTTGTAGAAAATTAGGCTGTGCCTTTTTTACAGGTGTTTTGTAGCTGTATACATGTAAGTTTTCGCATAATTTTTATGTAGTTAGGCTTCTCGTTTGGTGCATAAAATTATCGGGCGCTGGAGTCATTGTTCGCTCTCACAAGTTCCATTATCATTTACTCAGTCTTTTGCCTCTACCGCTTTTGTACCCTCTAACTGTCTTCGCCAAGAACAAGTACTCTTCATCCTTTATTTCAAAACATGGGCAATATGGGCAATATGCGACAATTAATTAAAGACACGCAAAACATCGGATGTAAGAGGTTGAATGGCTCTCGATAATGTGACGTCACATTTTTCCACTATGTTGGAACCGATCACGTCAGCCAGTTTCCTATCCAGTCTTTCTATTATCCATGGCCTTTCCCTGAAAAGTCACACGAATGTGCTCTAAAGTTAACTGAATTGTGGAATACAAGTTTATTGTTTGATTTAAATTATAAATTTATTAATGGGAGCCTCGCTTTTAGCCCTGGCTAAATCTATATATTATATTTCTGCATTGAAGACGGGAACAGTCCTTTGTTTAACGATCAGCTATTGATAGAACACGCTGATAATGCGCCGAGGAAGGTGACACAATATCCAGCAGACTGAACACATTCATTTATTGTGGGGATGATTTCAATTTACAGCTAGGAAAATACTCATACGTTCTCATTACATTATCCTGTCCTTTTGCTCTGTCCTCTCGCTTTATATATATTGTGTTCAAAATAAAGACGGCCATGCGTAACAGAAATTAATATTGAATGGTAAGTAACCTTTGATTATCCAATAAAAGGAAAACAGTATGCGCCGCGTTAACACCAATACTCAAGCTAGGAAATGTTTTCTAATTTCTTGTTTTCCAACCAAAAAAATGTAGGAAATGCTAGCTAACAAAGGTCATTGATTTCTATTTACAGTGGATACTGTTCTGCAATGTCCTGCATCAGTACGAGTCGACCAAAACAGCCATTGGGGTGAGGCTCACCATGCCATCGTCTCCACATGAATTCTTTAAGGTATTCTTGCTATCTTCTGACTATCGACCAAGTGTCGGCCGACCATCGACCGAGCGTTGACCAATTACTGACCGATACATCGGTGAAGTGTCGGTGAAGTATCGATGAACGAAAAGCTATATCGGCCGAGACATATCTGGAACGACTATCGACCGTGTCTCGACCGAGTGTCGTCCGACTATCGTCCTAGTCTCGACCGACTATCGACCAACTAATAAATTGCTACTAGGTTGCCAATCAGGGTTCCGTTCTCTACATAGTACGCTCACGGCTTTGCTTGAGGCAACAAATGCTTGGTCAGTAAACATCGACAATGGCCTTCTAAATGGCGTTGTCTTTATTGACCTTACTAAGGCATTCGACACCATTGATCATGAGATCATCTTGCGTAAGATGTCGTACTTGGGTGTCGATCAGGCAGCTATAAAATGGTTCTCGTCGTACTTAAGTGGCCGAACCCAAAGATGTAATGTCAGTGGCAAACTATCATCTGCTCGTACCCTCAGTTGCGGCGTGCCGCAGGGTAGCATATTGGGTCCTTTGCTATTTTTAATTTACATTAATGATCTTCCCAACTCCCTGCGGGGCGCCGTATCAAGAATGTTTGCCGACGACACCAACCTTACGTTATCTGCTAAGACGTTAACAGAGCTTAAGCTAGCTCTAACCCCTGAATCAAATAACCTTAGCTGTTGGCTGAAAGCTAACAAGCTCAGTCTAAATGTTGCTAAAACAGAGCTAATGATTATTGGATCAAGACAAAGACTATCTGCCCAATGTGACGATGTAGAAATCAGAATTGATGACCAAATTATTAAGAGAGTCGATCATACCAAATCCTTGGGTCTTACCATAGATGCTCAACTCTCTTGGGGTAAACACGTTGAAGAGATTTGCAAGAAAGTCTCTTCAGCTATAGGCGCCCTAAAACGTGTGCGGCCCTTTATATCCAAAGAAACTGCAATTCAAATTTATAACGCTTTAATTATGCCTCATTTTGATTACTGCAGCCCCGTCTGGGACTGTTTGAGTGGTTACTTGAGTGATAAGCTCCAAAAATTACAGAATCGTGCAGCCAGAGTTATTACTAAATCACCCTTTGATGCGAGCTCAAACCACCTTCTCTCCACCCTCAGCTGGGAGAGGCTATCTCTTCGACGAAAGAAACAAAAAGCCGTAATGATGTATAAAACCATGAATGACCTTGCTCCAGAATATCTGCAAAGTCTTTTCTCTCAGCGTCACTCTGCTTACAACTTAAGAAACTCTGAGGGAAGGCTGACCTTGTCCAAACCAAGCACTAATTATTTGAAACGAAGCTTCTCTTACAGCGGGGCCATGTTATGGAATAACTTGCCCAAAAACTTAAAAAACGCTGCATCCGTTGAGCATTTTAAGCGAAATATCAAGAAGGTAGCTGATATATCGGATTCCCACACGGCAATCATGTAAAGCAGTTGTAATTAGTTTTAGTTTTTAACTTAAGCTTAACTGATGATTTCCCGTGTTTAAATAAAGATTTAAAAAAAAAAAAAAAAAAAAAAACTATCGACCGCTATATCGACTGAGTGTCGACCGACTATCGACCGACTATCTACCGCAATATCGACCGAGTGTCGACCGACTTTCGACTGAGTGTCGACCGAGTGTCGACCGACTATCGATCGCTATATCGACCGATAGATCAGTCGACACTACTAAAAATTTTACCCTGCCTTTCCCGTTAATTTTAGACACAACTGAATGAAAATACGCACTATTGATCGATCGTATAAGAACTGATCGATTTTAGTCACAACTGAATGAAAATACGCACTACTGATCGATCATATAACAACTGATCGATTTTACTCACAACTGAATGAAAATACGCACAACTCATTTGTCATATATATAACAACTGATCGATTTTAGTCAAAACGGTATGAAAATACGTACTAATGATCGATCATATAAAAACTGGTCGATTTTAGTCACAACTGAATGAAAATACGCACTAGTGATCGATCACATAACAACTGATCGATTTTAGTCAAAAGTGAATGAAAATACGCACAACTCATTGATCATATATAATGACTACTGATCGATTTTAGTCACAACTGAATGAAAATACGCACAACGGTAGCTAATGGTAGATTATACAAGCCGAGTTTACGCTGATCAACAATGAACTGATCGATTATTAGCAAAACTGATCAATTGAGACAGCTTATCATGGTTGATTACGGACAACTGATCGATCGTACAGACATTTGATCGATTCTTTAGTATAGTTGAGACCAATTCGACACGAGTCCATTCAAAATACATTAAACGATCTCGCAAACAAAACGATCGTTAGAGAGGATAAAATCGTGACAGATAAATATTAGCCTGCGTAGCAAGCGTGTCCGTTACGGAATTTTCGCAGGCCTGTTCCCAGTCGTCCTCGGTACTCGGTCCTCTTGTCAGAATTGATATTTGCCAGCGGTGATGACTCAGCAAGGACGCTTGTCAAGGAAACGCCAAGGGTGCGGCAGGCCAAGGATTTGTGGAAATTTAACGTCCGCTGGCCGATTTCATTGTCCGCGCGGGCAATAATGATAACTATTGGTGAAAAAATGCAATTAAAATGAGGCTTTATTTTAACTCGATAATAATCTTTATTTTTCATCTTTGTTGTCCCTGTAACTGACTTTATTATATGGTTGAGTCTGTTTTCGCCATGCTATTGGTCAATTTGCGGTCCGTAACTTGCTATACGGACCAAAACGTTTAAAAAAAATGCTCATTTTGGAAGGTCAAAATCTCTTTACCGCGGAAAAAATGTTTAAATAAAGTTATAAGACGCCTGTCAACCTTGAGGACTTGGATGTTGACTTTGGCCTTCAACATTTTAAACTGTGTTTATTTGTGAACGAAGGCGATGAAGAAACTAACTCGTAATCTTATCGAAGAGGATTCTAGTCAGTGTTTGAAAATTTTATCGTGGTACACAGTTAAGAATACGAAAATCGACTGGCAGAGATTCGAGACGTTTTGCCTTGGAGAAAATGAGTAATCCCTTCAACAAATATGATAAGAAACATACCTGCACCCGATCATCTTGACAAGCTTCTTTGCCATTTGCAGTGCTTTTTCAAAGACCAACGAAAGAATGATAGAAGCGAGTTCGAGCCAGACACAATAATGTCCAGTTTTCAAAAGACTCCAGCGTCATTAACGAGTGAATACTTACAGTGCTCGTAGTTTCCACCGAATAAACTTTGAAATATGTATGTAAACCCTGAGGACTGAGATGTTGACTTTACCTTTCCAAATTTTAACCTAGCTTTGTTTTAATGAGAACGAAGCTGTTATAGAAACTGAATCGTAACCTTACCGAGGAAGAGAATTCTAGTCAGTGTTTGAAAATTTTAACGCAGATCACCATTGAAGACGAGAATGAACTGGCAGAAAGACAAAAACAATTAACGAGCGAATCCTTCGACAATGACAACAAACTTACCTTGAAAAGCTTCTTTGCCTTTTGCAGTGTTTTTTCACAAGGACAAACGGGGGAAAGATGGAAACGACTTCTAGACAGACACAGTGTGCGATTTTCAAAATACTCCAGCGTTACACTAAAGAGCTAAAACTTACAGTGCTCTTAGTTTTGACCGAATAAACTTTTTGAACATGGTGAATTTGTTTTTACTTTCTCGGAAAGCGTTTGTTATGTGATATTGTTTTCGTGCGCCAATAAAAACTTTCTTTTTTGACACCTGTCAAATGATTGTCAAATCGTGCGTCCTACACTTGTTTCCGGTCCCCCAAACAGGAAGAAGCCATATAATAAACATCTTATTAGCCTCGTTTTTTCGGTCCGTACAGTAAATTACGGATCCTCGTTTTTTTCCATCGATTTATGGCCCGCGCGCTTCGCGCCTGGGCCATAAATCGATGGAAAAAAACTCGGTCCGTAATTTACAGTGCGGAGCGAAAACTCGGCTAATAAGAGGCATTTACTTCCTCCATAGATGTTGAAGTGGTCAGGACCTTGCCCGAAGTAGATAAAACTGCAGGCATTGCCGAAAAAGAACTCAAGGTAGGTTAAATCACGTCGTATTATTACAGCTGTTAATAGTATATGAGAATTATGTTTATCTAGCCTGCATAGCAAAGACGTTTCTGTGCGGTTTCGCGCGGCCAAAACCGAAATTCCGTAACGGAAATGCTTGCTACGCAGGCAAATATTTATCTGTCACGATTTTATCCTCTCTAACAATCGTTTTGTTTGCGAGATCGTTTAATGTCTTTTAAATGGATTCGTGTCGACAAAGTCTTAGCTATACTAAAGAATTAAGCCATGGTAAAGGTAGTACGGACCGGCTGGAGTTGTAGGTAGAAGACTTTGTGGATCATTTTTCGTTTCTGGGAAGCTGCCCACCTACCCCTCCCCTAAGCCAACATTAACACTTACTTCTCACTTAGGGCAAAATATTGGTTTAGGGGAGGGGTAGGTGGAAAGTTTCCCAGAAACGTAAAATGATCCGACTTAGTTTGCTTGTTTCATGCCCTGTTCAGCCTGTGTGTGTAAAAAAATGCACTTTATGTCAATGTTGTATTTAAAGCACTAATTGGTATTCAAAATCTTGAGACATTTCAAGATTTGTAATGGAGAATCTTGAATTTTTTTTTAGAATGTCAAAACTTAAAATTTCAATATTCTGTACGTAAAATTTCGAAATGTCAATATATTCTGAATGCCAAATATTAAAATTTCATGATTTGGTAGCTAACCAATGACTAATTATAACTCACCGTAATGATATTAGTATAATTCTGTAAATAACTCACCATGTTGCCTTTGAAACCGCAACTTACCTTGTCTTGTTTTTCAGCATATTCTACGGCAGGTTTGGTTGTCTTGACTAAGGTGAATTGCACGTCAAGTGTGCATGTGATAAAAGATTACCGGAAAAAAATAAAATAAAATCCGTCCATGCAATCAGTTGTCTAATAAATGTGTTAACTTGAGACTTTTTTGTTCTAAATTTATTTTGTGTACATTACCAATTTTTCACGAACTCGTGTTGAACATGACAGATATGAAAACGATTAGCCGTGTTCCTCAATGATGGAGAGTCATTACAATATGGAGAAGAATGTGGAAAGCCTTTTAATTGATATCTTCTTCTGAAGACCTTGTAGTTTGGAAAAGATCACCGAACAAATTCACTGAATTTTATAGCGCCGCTTAGAATGCATTTGTAGAGATCTCAAAGTACTCTGGATAGTCTAAAAAGTGTTTTCAATGCACTTGTTTAGGAGAAAACCGTCGTTTGTTGCCCCTGGTTCTAAGTGTTCTTTTCTGTATATTCAATCTGACGAAAAATATGCTTTACTCATTTTTTACTTTTAGACTCCTCATCATCAGTACTTATAATAATCAGAGTCATTTTCATTATTTTTATGAACTATTTCTTATGTGAAGAGGTTGCTTTACGCTGAAGGAGCCTTTTCTCAGATTTAGTTATTAAATAAATACATGTATTTTAACATGTACAAGCCATACTTCACCTGGGTTCCACTCATTCGTCAGCAATAAAGTTATCAAATAAACCGTTACCAACAGAAGCAAAATTACTCCAAGTATTTTCACCTTTCGAATGTGTAGGACAGCCGTGGAAGAATTGAAAGGAAGAGACATCTTTTTGTTTCTACGACACGACTTCTGGCTCGTAACATGTATGAATATTATTAAATATGCATGCATACGACCTACTTGTATTCTGGGTAGAACGTATTTCGTAGAGCGCTCAATTCATTAGAGCGCTCAGACTATTAATAATCACAGGAGTTCAGGCTTCAGGAGTAATCATTGATCGTGCAGATGACCTACGTGCATTAGCATTCTATTTGATAAGCCTCCAGCAATTAAGTATAAATTGCGCAATCATGACTTCGCTACACCTCTCTCCTCTGCACAGGCCTCTTTGAGTTGTTGGGAGACTGGGAAGAAAGAAAAACGCGGAATCGTCCACCGCGCGCTTTCTATTTTTTGGATACCCAGTAGGAGCATCTGCGAAGAGGAGAGTCGCTATACCAAGATTTAACACAGTCTCCTTTGGAAAGCACTCGCTCATGTATATGGGCCCAAAGGTATGGAGCTCTGTTCCTTGTAACGTGAAAGAAGCTTCCATTCCATAAACTTTCTGTTTTTTCTTTTTTTAATTAACTAATTTATTTATTCATTCTTTTTAATTTTTTTTTAGTTTCCCCCCTTGGTGGCTCTTCACCGCTATTACAGATTGATACTTAAATAAAGGTATCATTATCATCATCATCATCATCTAACGATTTCCCAGATGGGATGTACGTATCTAGCTGTACCGTTGTATAGTTATGTCCTATCTTGTGAACATGTCGTCTGACGTAATGTGATATGGAAGCCAATCAGGTTATGCAATGTATCGTGGTAGTCGCGGCATAGGACTGGAAAAGAATCTCCGTTGCAGTTTGGTCTTCGAGAAAAATTTGCAATTCTAGCGGGTCGGGGAAGGTAGTAAAATTTGTCTTGCAAGGTTAAGTAAACACAACTGCAACGCTACATCTAGCCTGCGAGCAAGCTCTCTGGGGAGCTCTTTGGTGGGCCCTGTGCAAAGGATACACCCATGAGACGACGACAACAAGAAAACGTCGCTACGAGTAGATTTATACTCATGTTAAGCGTGAAGACTCCCCAGTAGAAAGGAGAAGCCGTTACGTCACGTTACCATGGTAGCAAAATCTGGATCGGACAACAAACAGAAAGCGTGAATTCGCACTCAGTTTTTCAAACTTTATTGATCTTGTTCAACTTCATTTAATTTGCCAAATGTTAGCGAAATTTCCTGGCGTTGAATCGAACAGAACCGTATCTGAGTTAAGAAAGAAAAGGAACATTACTGTGTTGTGTTCACTTACTCCATAAAACAGGCCCGTGATCAGAACATTTCATGTCGCCGTCGAGCAATGGCAGCTAAGAATTGTACAATACGCGTGATGAACGTGCAAAGTTACCTTATTACAGAAAATTAACGCTCCGTGAAATTAAGGTATTAGAAATTAACGCGACGTAGTGTACTGTTAGTCATTGTCTTAGTCTGAAAAACAGCCGAAGATCACTTTAACCGTTGCCAAAACGAACAGACTAAAAAGAATAGTATTTTTTACAGTAATGTATATCAGACGATTTTATTTGGTGATTTTTTTTCCAGATTACGTTGTAGAGTTTCAGTAAGATTATTTGTAGTCATTCTTAAAAGTTTATCCGCTTCACCTCTAGATAAACTATTCAGAGCATCTGTCTACTTCATTGAATGTTCTCCCTTATTCCCATATGGCTTTGTGTGTCAAAAGGTCCCATGCACGAGCGAGTCAATTTCAGGTAGCTTGCGTGCGTAGCAGAAGCCCCAGTCTCCAGCCGGGTGGTAATCGGCGGGCGCATCGAAACACCCACGGCTGGAGACTAAGCTTTGCGTAGCAGACTTTTGTAAATAACATAGACGCAAAAAAGAAAAGGGCGCCCGATCGACGTAAGAGGGAGCGTATTCCCCTTTGAGAGCCACGTTCTTTCTCGCGCCTATATCATTTATAAGCGCCGTCTAAACAGGCTAAATTTCAGGCGAATGTAATACCTGCCCGTTAACACTATTCCGACCAAGACCTCTAATTTAAAAATCGGAATTACTTTCCTCGTAGATGTGTATTTGCTATAGATACTGGCTTTTCAATCGTGCATGAGATCAGATAGAGGCCCTGGGAAACCGTAATTAAATATTTTAAAGTCTTCTTCAAAGGCCTTACCCAGCTGAGCGATCTTCTCCTTGGGTATCGGGGCATAGCTTTTAAGAAGTTGACTTGTAGTATTGTGGGTAAGAAACGGAGGAAAGGTCACCGCTCGATCCATTCCTGTTTGCCGTAGGATATAAGGTGCTTCTTCTGGCATGTCCTCAAAATGACCGATGAAATCGTACTTTATATCACACGGGTGACAAATTGGGCCGTACGATCGCCAGTGTGCATTTGTATCAAACCCAACATCACTCACATAATAAATGAACTTCTTAAAAGTAAGATCCTGGTCAGAACTATTGGAGCTAAGTTCATCTTGTTTGTATCTTTCCAAAATTTTCGTTTTATAACTTTGAATTATTCTCCAAGGCCATTTGTTGTTTACAAACTTGTTATTGTAGGCTGACAAAAGCCTCTCGAGTGGTTCGCGAACAAATAGAAACTTAAAGTAAGATTTTAGCCTCACTTTAATATCCTCGTCCGAATAATCATATAAGAGAAATTTATAATGTTTGTCATCATGCACATCATCCACATCGGTGCGGTTATCAAGAGCAAGAAAGACACGTTTCCATTGACTGCAAGCCACCTTGGGAATATAGCAGAAGATTACTTTGTACTCATCGTTAACAATTACAGGATGATTGTATTGATCGCTTCGATTTCTGCTTGAAGCGTGCTTCTCACAGTAGTCTCTAAGTCGCTGCTGTCGCACAGTTTGTCTCTGTTCAATCCGCTCCAAAAGGTGATCATCCTTCTCTATCTGAAAAGTGGATTTACAAACGTGAGAGCTTTAGCCAGAAGGTGCGATTAGAAATCAGGACAATCAGGATTAGCTTAGTCAGTAGGGGCGCTTAAACCGTGTAAACTGGTGGTCAAGTAGTGTCCCTAATTAGTACTTTAAATACAACATTGACACTCAAATAAAGTGCATTTTTTTACACAAACAGGCTGAACAGGGCATGAAACAAACAAACAAAGCCGGATTGGGAAACTGCCCACCTACCCCTCCCCTAAGCCAGCATTTTGCCCTAAGTGAGAACTAAGTGTTAATGTTGGCTTAGGGGAGGGGTAAGTGGGTATGGCGCGCCGTTTGTCTCGAAATTATTTTTTTCATTGGTTATAAATTTTTAATCTTTTTCTGTTCTGAATCATGGATATAAGCGCTGAAAATCAGAAAGAAGGACTCATGATCCTTTCATTATTGCTTTTTCGTCGTCATTATTAAGAACAATCTCTTAATAGTTTACTTTGAACTCCAATCAATCAGTTTTGCGGATCGGGTTTACCGACCAGTTATCGATCAATTAAAATATTACTATATTGTGCTAATTTTCTACCAGATACGTAATATCGATCAGCCGGCATATCATCAATCGGTAATCCGTCGTGTTTAAATCGATGTATATGATCCGTAATCAACCATGGTAAGCTGTCTCAAATTTCGATCAGTTTTGCTAATAATCAATCAGTTTATTATCTAACAGTTATCGGGTACTATACTATTGATCAGCGTAAACTCGGCTTGTACAGTCTACCAGTTGTGCGTATTTTCATTCAGTTGTGACTAAAATCGGTCAATTGTGTATATTTTACCTTCTATCATTTTAGCCCAGAATTCTCGACATACTCCAGACATTCTTAGAAGAAAACTAGAAAACTGAATAGCTTTAGTTTCGCGCACTTTTAAAATTTCCGATCAATCTTTCACAATTTCATTACTGTAACAACATTTCATCTTCATGGTCGCTGCGAGCAGTGATTTCTCCAGCGTCCGGCCTGGAGAAACCATTGCTAGCAGGGTACTGTGAGAAGAATATTACTCTCAATATCTGCTTCCTGGATTTCGATCAACTTTAAATAAATTAGTCCCTGTTTTCTTTCTTTAAAAATTAGATGTTGTTTACTGTAGGTAGTGTCGACCGATTTATCGGTCGATATAGCGTTCGATGGTCGGCGGTCGATAGTCGATCGATAGTCAGTGGACAGTCGGTCGATAGTCAGTCGATCGTGGGATAGACTATCGGCCGAGTATCGGTCGATATTTCGACGACGCACCTCGACCGACTATCGGTCATATGTCGGTGACATATCGGTCAACTGTCGGTCGAATATCAGTCGTGTGTTAATTTAGCAGGTGAGTCCAATGGCTTTCTTTTTAAGCAATGACATCGTTAATTACTGTTATCATGAGATGGAGGAACATGTGGCAGTGCGAGGCGCAATTACTCTATGAAGCGAACCGAAGGGCACTGGAAACTAGGGACATGGTTACCTTTTTTTTGCCAGTTTGTATCATCACCGATCGTCTGATTTTTGGCTGTTAAACAGAACCTGTCAGAGTCTAAGTTGAATCTGCTGCTTCTGTGGTCCCGCAGTCGAAGAATACTTAAAGATGGAAGAGAGAAACGACTGCTCCCGCAGTCCCGAATTGGACGGATAATGAATAGGAAGGGCAGTTCATGACATGCTTTAAGAGCGAGGAATGCACATCTTTTATTATTGGGCTTTGACCTGTTTCATCACGCCGAGTTCTCACTTGTGCGGAGACCACAAATTAAACTTATATATTTCTGCATTGAAGACGGGAACAGTCCTTTGTTTAACGATCAGCTCTTGATAGAACACGCTGATAATGCGCCGAGGAAGGTGACACAATATCCAGCAGACTGAACACATTCATTTATTGTGGGAATGATTTCAATTTACAGCTAGGAAAATACTCATACGTTCTCATTACATTATCCTGTCCTTTTGCTCTGTCCTCTCGCTTTATATATATTGTGTTCAAAATAAAGACGGCCATGCGTAACAGAAATTAATATTGAATGGTAAGTAACCTTTGATTATCCAATAAAAGGAAAACAGTATGCGCCGCGTTAACACCAATACTCAAGCTAGGA